CGCGGGTGGCTGCGCGGCCGGCTGGGGTGGGGACACGGGGGCTGGGGACAAAGCGGGCAGGGACAGGCTGGCAGCGGGACGCCCCTCCCGGCTGGCTCCTTCATTTGATCTTCAGATCCTTCAGCGCAGACTCCAGGCTCTAAAAACAAATGGGAAGGGGGGGTCTGTCATCAGCTTTTGGCTTTCTGAAGACAGCAGAGGTGGTTGTGGACCTAAGTGGGGGGGAAGCTGTCCCCTGGGTGCCAGCCCATCCCTGTGGGGAGCAGGTCCCAATTTTTGGCTGGTTTTGGCTCGTTTTCTGTGTGCCACCAAAAGGTGTGTCATGTTTCTCCCTCCTCCCCAGCCCTGGGGTAAAGGAGATCCCACCCAGGGTGGTGAGACCCCCATGGGCAGGATGGAGCCCACCACCACCCCAAAGAGCTGCTTAGCAGCTGGGTGGGGAGATTGCAATTAGCTCTGTGGCTAATGAGGATGCAGCACTGGCTGTTCCCAGCCTGGGAGGGGGGGACAGGGGCAGCTTGGGGACACCTCACCTTGACATCCCAGATGCTCATGCCACCATCCATGCCTGTGGTGCAGAACTGTGAGCAGTTGGCCTTCCCACCTGCCAGCACTGAGATCTGGCTGCGGGGAGCAAAGAGGAGACAGGGAGTCAGCTCAGGACTGTCCAGGAACACCCAGGGATGTCCAGAGATAACCCAGGGACACCCACAACCACCCAGAGATGCTCCAGGATTGTCCCAGCTCCTGGATCAGATGGCAACACAGCCAAGGGATGCTCAGGGGCAGCACTCCTGAGCAGCCCCTGGGCTGACCCAGCCCAGCCTGTCCCTCCACCCAGTCCCCCCCCAGGACGTGCCTGATGCTGTTCTTGTGCAGGGTGTCCAGGGAGGCGTTGGCCGTGTCCGAGCTCGCCTTCTTGTCCAGGTTCTGGAAGCGCTCGCGGGCCGTGAGGCCGCGCTGGGAGTTCTGCTTGGGGACGTCCAGCTTCCCCCCGAAGGTCAGGGTGCCCTGGCTCTCCTCGTAGGTGAACAGCATGGGGTAGCAGTCGTGGCCCTGGGGGACCAGACAACCCAGCTCAGCACCCTCCTGCCTTTCTCCTAGCACAGCACCCCCCCCGCGTCCCCAGCCCGGACTCACAGCAGCCACGAGGCTGTTCTCAGTGATGAAGGTGACAGCCAGGAGAGGCAGGGTCTCGGTGCACAGGGAGGCCACTCTGTGGGGGAGGGCAGGGAGATGAGGGGGGTCAGCAGGGAGACGAGCTCCAGCCTCTCTGCCCTGAGACTGGCACAGCTCATGACACAGGTGGGAGCCACAAGGAGAGGACGCGCCGCTTCCTCCACCTGCGCTCGCTAGGCCCAACCCGACCCAGCTCCACCCAGACGTCCCCACCCCTGGGTTGGTTTGGGGGATCAACCCAACAGAGCCACCCCCAGCACCCTCCCCTCTCCCCAGCCCTGCTTACGCCATCTTCTTGTTGGCATCAGCCAGGCAGAGGGTGCTGTCGTGGCTCACCCAGGCCACGCGGGCGCCGCTGGCCGAGAAGCAGATGCTGTGCACCCACCCGCAGCTGCTGCTCGACTCGAACATCAGCTCCCCAAAGGGCATCTTGGAGCCCCACGGCGTGGGGCTGGGCCGCTCCTCCACCTCCTTGATGTAGGCTGAGAAGATCCTGAGGGGGGATGGAGAGCCCTGATGTTTGTCCCTGGACACAGCGGCTCCATCCCTGCATTCTTGTATGCCTCAGTTTCCCTGCCAGAGCTTGTAGGGTGCCCTGCTGGGTGCTGTGGCATTGGGATGGTCCCTGGGGCACCCCCTAGCCCTCCACACATCTCTCCTGTGCCTCATTCTTCACTCCCACCAGCACCCAGAGGGGTGAAACCCCAACCCAGGGTGCTGGGCTGGCCCCACACACCTCCCTCCTGCGCTGTGGTGGGACCTCAAGCCATCCTTGGGGTTCCCCTCACCTCAGGCCCCCCTGGTTGCCCACCTCCCCTGCTCCTCACCGGCACTTGAAGTCACAGGAGCCAGCAGCCAGGAGGACATTGTTGGGGTGCCAGTCGAGGCTGAGCACTGTGGAGCGGATGGGCTTCTTGATGTGCTTGCAGACCCACCTGTGGGGAGAATGCTTGGCATGGGAGGGGAGGTGTCGTCATCCCTGGGAACCCCCCATGGCTTTTAGGGGGCTGGCTGAGGGCTGTCAGGGCTACAAGCACCCTAGGAGCTGCCCTGGGTGACCTGCCTGCAGCAGCAGCCTGGGCTTGAAGACACCATGTCCCATTCCCAGAAGCAAGGTTTTGGAGCACCTCCCTCCATCTCCCCGTCTGCATCCTCTTCCACCTCCTCCTCCAGCTCCTCTCTGTCTCCCCCATCTCCTCCTGTCTCACCTCCAACCCCTCTGGTCTCCTATCTTCCAAACCACGTCCCTCCCACCTCCCATCCACTCATCTTCCCTCCATCTCCCCCAGGACAGACCCAGCGAGGCCATGGCAGAACCTCACCAGTCATTCTCCTGCTCGAAGTAGCAGATGGAGATGAGGCGGGAGCCGCTGCCCACGGCAAACTTGTTCTCCTTGGGGGACCACTTGACGCAGCGGGCGGCCCGGTTGATCCTCAGGATGACCAGGGTGGGTTTCCAGACGTTGCCCTTCAGGGTCCACACGTAGGCGTTGCGGTCGGTCCCACACGTCACCAGCCGGTTGCTCTCAGGGGCCCAGTCGATGCCTGGAAGGCAGAGGGGTTTGATGGTGGCCCGGGGAGCCGTGGGGAGGGGTGACTCAGGGCTGGAGGTCAGGGGAAGGCAGGCCTGTTCTGAGTGGTCTCTGCTTGAGTCCCTCTCTGCTCTACTCCCACATCTCAAATCATTCCACTCCAGCCTCCCCACCCCTCCCACCCTGTCCCATTCCATGCCAACCTGTATCACTCCCTCCCTTCCATTAATCCACCCGTTCCCAGCCAGCCGTCTATCCATCTCATCCCACCTCATCCCCACCCCCCACAATCCCTTCCATCTCTCCCATTCCACCCATCCCACCCTTGGGTGTCTTCTGACACGCTGGGTCTGGGCCAGGGGATAGACACAACCTGCTCCCTCTCCTCCACCTGCTCAACCCCCATCCAGAACCTGCTGGTGCCACCAAGTGGGGCTGGGACCATTTCCAGGGCAGAGACAACCACCAGCCGTGTCCCCATCCCCTCCATTGTCTGGGACTCACCTGTCACCTGCCCATTGTGCTCCTTCAGCTCATGGACTTTGCTCCACTTGGCCCCATCCTTGCGGTAGATGTGAACCTCATGGTTGTTGGGGCAGAGGGCAATCTCTGCAGGGAGAGAGCAGCAGGGGCACAGCCCTCCCCTGGGTGGGGGGCTCTGCCAGGGGGGGAGCAGGGCCAGCCAGCACCCATCTGCCCCTTCCAGGATTTGTGGGGCGTGGTGGGACCCCACTGAGCCCCATCTGCACGGGGGGACCCCACCGAGCCCCCCATGCTGCCCCAAAGCTGGCCCTGTCCCTGCAAACCGAGGGGAGAGGCTCCCCCAGCCCTTTGTCCTCCTGTTCCCAGCCCCGCGGGGTCCCGCGTTGCCGGTGGGATGGGGCGGGAAGGGATAG